GTTTCTGCAAGCTGAAGAGAGATATTTCTGACCGTGCACCAGAACAGCATTCCATTTATTATCATCCTCAATAGAAAGGTTTCTCTTTCAGAAATGAGACCTATGAGGAATAGGGAAGAATAGCAGAACTGGTGCAGTAATGTATCATTGAAAAGAACAGTTCTCAAAACTTTGCTCTTAGATAAGACTTTCTTGTCAGAGAGAAGGTGTACCAGAGAGTGACAGCCGTAGCTTCTAGATAACCCTTAACTCAAGTGTTTCTTAGTTTTAAAATCAATAAATTTATTCATTTCTGTTATGCTCTGGACAATATAAATGGGGCATTTTTTTTCACTCTGTCAAAACAAATGTCAACCACCAGGCTTTTAGCAACCTTCATACCAGATCTTGTTGCCTAGACATTATATTTTCTCCTATTTCCCATAGGTTATTTCTTAGCTGTTGAGAGCCAGCAGCAACAGGAGAGCAGATGTATTCTGTTCTGCAGTCACAGCTTGGGTTTCCATTATAACCTGGGTTTACATAATGGAAAGTTTATAAATGAAGCTAATGAAGATGCCATTGACAGAAACTAAACATGGAACAACTATTTTTCTTTTGAAATGTAACTACCAATCAAACAGCTACACTGTTCTTGCTATAGCTTCCCAAGTTGGAATAGTTGGAATATTCTGTACTGAATACTGTTATCAGAAGTTACTTTGTTGAATCATAGACAGGGGGAGAGCTCTAATCTCCAAATGCAGTTTAAGAGTGCCTTGCTGAAATATGATACAATATTAAAGTTGAAAACCCCAAAACTATATTTTCTTCACTGGAATAAGTCTTCTTTAAAAATAAGTTAGATAAAAGAAGTTTATGTGCTGCAATCTGCCTATATTTTTAGCAAGTATATCTGATTTACTTACTGTTAAATTGAAAAAAAGTCTTCATGTAATTAAAACATTATAACCTGATTTTATTTTTTAAGTATTTAGTTGAACACATTATAATCCATACCACAGGTTTTCTAGACATAGAGATTTCACAGCTTTAGCACCTGAAGAAGGAAAACCAGAAGCAATACTGGCTGAAAAAGTAATGCGTTATGTTTGGTTTACATATACTGACATACAACATGTTCACTAGAGAACATTACGGATACTTAAATATGGGAAGAGAGATGAAATGCTGTGCTGAAGGGTCAGCTTTATTACATTTTAGACACATCAGTTTATCTAGGAGGCTTCTTCAGTCTTGGTATGTGGTACTCATGAGATTCTGCAATGACCGCTGTAGCATTTCTTTGCCCCAGTGAACCAGCTATGCCTGAAGATGAATGACTCCCAGCCCATTCCAGTGACCTAAGCACAGGTAATGTTTGCTTCAGAAAGAAAAGGATTTTGCTTTTATTCTCCACCTGGTTTTGCTTAGTTAAATATTTTCACAGTCTCATTTTCAAGGGAACAGCTGGGGAACATGAAGTAAAATCTAAGGCCTGATAACTTTGAAACAGGACAAGGGACCTAAGCACCCAAGAACACTTTCATTGGAAGTTAAGCACCCATTAGTTCAGATACGGGGTTTAAAAATCTCTGTACCTAGATACCTTTTAAGCCACGGACTATTACTAAAATTTGGTCTTACATAGTTGGAAGGTGTTTAGTAATCACAGCTAAATAACAGTGCCAAGACTAAGGGGATGCTAGTGGAGAGGGAAGAACAGTCTATGACTTAAATCTTTTCAAGTCGCTTCACTTTGTATGGCTGAAGAAGTTCAGCAGGAGGATAGTCTGAGCATGGGACATTCTCTGTTCTGGCATAATATGGTAAAGCTGAATGGAAGAAAAGTTTAAAGAGTTTTTTTTTTTATTTTTAATATACTTGTTTATTACTGGATGTAATTTTAACTGGCTGTATATATGGAGCTTGGGAGATGGAAGCATAAATTCAGGAGAAAGTCTTTCCACCAATCTGAACATGCTAATAGTAGTGGTGTATAGGGTTCTAAAATTTATTTTTCAAAGTTACACAAAATAAATATGGGTTTAATTCTTATTTGTAATATTTTTTCCCATTTTTCAAGTGTCAGTTCACCATAAGAACTTTTGTCATGAAAATATCACTTAAGTACAAAGCTAAAGTTCAATTAAAAAAAGAAAGGTTTCTTTATATCCCAAAAATCTTCCTTTATTTTAGTGATTTCTGAGAATATCTTGTTATGTTCATGTGTAAACATATTACCAGATTTGTCTTCAGTTTGAAGTTTTATAAGGCAGTCAAGTTGGGCTACTGTTGTTTATGAAATGCTGCTTTGGGGGATTTTGGGAGCTAACAACAGCGCTATGTTGTTATGTAGTCTCTTGCTTAGGTTCCTCTCCTGCCTGTTGTGAGGACAGGTAATCAATAAGCAGCATATCGTCTACTGGACTAGATGGTGAAGTAGATAAATACTTTAAGAAAAATATTCTTAAAGACTTGATGACAACTGAGTAACTTCACAGGAGGAAGAAAAATATTCTCTGAGTTTTATATGTGAAACATGGAGACATTTATTTTGGTTCTCCCCTTGCAAGGTTCCAAAAGGAAGAAGATTAAAACACCGGAGGTGTGCAGGTTGTGTGTAATCATTACTTTACTCTGTAGCCTGGCTGCCATTCTGATGAACATAAAGTTGGCTGAATTGAGGGAACAGCCTCTCTAGTCCCTCCCTATTGAGCCCATGCCTCATTCCAGTGAATTAAGAATTCCCTGCACTAGTCTGAAATAGGAAGGAGCATCCTGCATTTCATTAGTTGTTCATTTTGCCATTGCCTTGGTTTGACAAATGTGGTGTAAGCACACAAATTAAAAATTTTTGGCATCCTAAAATCTGTGAGAATGGGAAAATCAATAAAAACTGTTTCTCTTGCAATGCATGTTTTCTTAAAACATCTCTTTTGAATGACAACTCAGAACTTCCACCCAGTATTCTTATTCCTATGAGGCAGAAGCATCATAACCCAGATGACAACACAGCCTCATTTCTATAGCTCAGTCATGGGAAGGATTTTAACTGTAGTGTGTTGCTGGACTTGACTGTATGAACCAGAGTTACAAAAATAAAACAGGAGTGTGCTTTTGTACCAGCATAAATGACAGATTTTGTTTGATCACTGTTCTTAGCATAATTAGCTGATTTAGAATTAATACCAATACCTTAGCTAATTTGAAATAGCAGAGCTCCTTGGGGTCACAGTGCCCCATCATGTTTATGTAAAGAAAAATTATTCATATTATGTTAAATTTGGATACAATCCACTATTAGAGACAGTGGTATTTAAAACAATAGAAATCTTTTGATGTTGAGGATGTTATTTTTGTATCTCCAGCAGGGCTGGTAATTGTAACACTGTCAGCCTGGGACCGACTTTAAAGCAAGATGTCACTAAAAGTTCAAACCGTGGATGTAATGGGAGTGAATGTGTCTTCAGACATTTCTGTGGGCTTAAGGGGTCAGGCGGGGAGGAAAAATAAATCAAATTACCACAATTCATTTTGGTTTCCTGAAGGCAGCTAAAGGCTGAGGTAACTACTGAATGTGGAAGACTTGTATTAGAACACCAGAGCAACATGTGCAAGTAACCAAACACAGCCTGTGCAAGTAACCAGATGCTATGTACTTAAGTGCAGTCTGAGGTGGAAACTTAGGAACAGCAGGCAAATCATTGAAAAAAAAAAAAGCTTTTGAGATCAATCTTGGTTCATGTAAGCAACAAATTTAAGAACACACAAATCTTTCCAAAGGTCATTAAGCCTTGAATACCTCTGCCTGCACACTGCTTGCCTTTCATTCATGTGGGTCCAGCATCTCATAATTGCAAGTTTTAGCAGACTTTTTTGATACATCTACAGTATTCGGCTTCTGGAGATTACAGCCAGAAGATGCATGCTTGATGTCTTGTTAAAACTTGATTGTACCTCATCTTGAGAAGTAAAGTCTCTCCAGTCATCCTTGTTTGCAGACCAAGTGTTTTGTGTTCCCGCTGCTTCAACGACTGCTTTCTTCCCTCAGCACAGCAACTTGTTTTCTAGTGTCTGGTTTTCCCAGACATTACCCTTTAATTCTGCCACGAGACCAAATAATTCCAGACACACCTAACATAAGCAAATACACAAAGCATTAAAGACTAAACATTTCATTGCTTTAAAATGCACAGTTCCTCCATCTATGCATGCCATTGTACAAGCCGCTGCAGGGTCACACTTCATTGTTTCAGCTAACATTAATGCTGGGAATAAGCTGCTTTCCTTAATGTTCTCATTAAGCTCCTTTGCAACTACAATTTGAACACAGTGATATCCTTTAAAGAAAGGAAACATTTACACACACATTACTTACCAGAAAGCTTGCCAAGCAAACCCTAACGTTACCTATTAATTCATGATAAACAGTCATCATGTAGGAATTCTGGTTTGCATTAAAAAAGTGTAAAGAGGGAGCTTCCAGGGCACTAATATTCTGCAGTTACCAGGAACTTCTTTCTCTTCCCACTCTATGGTGACATGGAATCATAGAATCATAGACCAGTTACGGTTGGACAGGACCTTAAGATCATCCAGTTCCAAGCCCTCTGGCATGGGCAGGGACACATCACACTGAACCATCTCACCCAAGGCTCTGTCCAACAGAGCCATGTGCTTTAGGCTGCCAGCATGTCTCCGTTGCCATGAACCAACAAATATAACGAATACCAAAATAACACCCATCAGAGGGGCAAATTTCTCAAGCAAATACAAGCCATCTACTGAAAAGAGAGCTAGTACGAGAAACCTTTTCACGGCCAGGCATGTGAGGTCCAAGATGTGATTCTGTCACCACAGCTCCAGTCACCAGAAGAAAGCAGCCACGTGGCAGCTTCCACATCAACCAGTTTATTCCAGTTGCAGCCTGAACGGACAGTGGATGCTGCCAGCATCACACAGCTAGCAGCAGACTTACAAGAAGGAGGGCTTCAATGATGAAAGAAAGAATTGCAAGGCTGTTTTGGAAATGTTTATTAGACCATCTGGATTTTTGACAATTTCCTCTTAGTAGGGAGCAAGGTCTCATGAGTAGTTTGCATCCATTCTAATCCCATCCTCCTCAACATAAAGGGGGCTTATTAATTGTTTTTTTACTCAGTCATCTGAAGATTAGGCTATTCAAATCTGATCAATGCAGGCACTGTGTTCTTGGACACACTTTTATGAGAAGATGCTCTGTAAAAAAATCACAAAAATAAAACAAAAAATAGCGAAAACATATTAGCTCAAAGTATTAAATTAGCCTCCAGTCCAAATGAAATCCAGCCTGAGGCAGCAGATACAGAACGGGGAGAAAAATATTCCAACAACACCCATGGAACTAAGTCAACACAAATCCAAAGCTCTTCAGGCAATACAAAACCCACCCAGCACTTGTCTTAAGAACAGAAAGAAAAACCCCAAAACTCACAATGCAGACAGCCAATTTTTTCTAACAGATATTTTCATTTGTTTCTCTGGAAGTAATTTCCTCCATTAGCACTTTATCAAATGCAAGTAGTTTAGTGCATTTCTACTAATAAACAGCTTTTTATTTTTCCTCTAGGAGACCCATTAAAGCCTCAACCTATTTAAAATTATAGCGGGTTTAATGTCACTTTTGGGTACTCAGCAATTGAAACATCCATCTTCCAAATAAATCCCCATCTTCCCTGACACCATAGAATCATAGAATAGTTAGGGTTGGAAAGGACCTTAAGATCGTCAAGTTCCAACCCCACTGCCATGGGCAGGGACACCTCACACTAAACCATGCCACCCAAGGCTCTGTCCAACCTGGCCTTCAACACCACCAGGGATGGAGCATTCACAACCTCCCTGGGCAACCCATTCCAGTGCCTCACCACCCTTACAGTAAAGAATTTCTTCCTTTATCCAATCTAAACTTCCCCTGTTTAAGTTTTAACCCGTTACCCCTTGTCCTATCACTACAGTCCCTAATGAAGAGTCCCTCCCCAGCATCCCTATAGGCCCCCTTCAGATACTGGAAGGCTGCTATGAGGTCTCCACGCAGCCTTCTCTTCTCCAGGCTGAACAGCCCCAGTTTTCGCAGCCTGTCTTCATAACGGGAGGTGCTCCAGTTCCCTGATCATCCTCGTGGCCTCCTCTGGACTTGTTCCAACAGTTCCATGTCCTTTTTATGTTGAGGACACCAGAACTGCACACAGTACTCCAGGTGAGGTCTCACGAGAGCAGAGTAGAGGGGCAGGATCACCTCCTTCAACCTGCTGGTCACGCTCCTTTTGATGCAGCCCAGGATACGGTTGGCTTTCTGGGCTGCAAGCGCACACTGAAGCCGGCTCATGTTCATTTTCTCATCAACCAACACCCCCAAGTCCTTCTCCGCAGGGCTGCTCTGAATCTCTTCTCTGCCCAACCTGTAGCTGTGCCTGGGATTGCTCCGATCCAGGTGTAGGACCTTGCACTTGGCATGGTTAAACTTCATGAGGTTGGCATCAGCCCACCTCACAAGCGTGTCAAGGTCCCTCTGGATGGCATTCCTTCCCTCCAGCGTATCAACCGAACCACACAGCTTGGTGCCATCGGCAAACTTGCTGAGGGCGCACTCAATCCCACTGTCCATGTCAGTAATGAAGATGTTGAACAAGACCGGTCCCAACACCGATCCCTGAGGGACACCATTCGTTACTGGTCTCCAGCTGGACATTGAGCCATTGACCACAACTCTTTGTGTGCGGCCATCCAGCCAGTTCTTTATCCACCGAGTGGTCCATCCATCAAATTGATGTCTCTCCAATTTAGAGACAAGGATGTCGTGTGGGACAGTGTCAAACGCTTTACACAAGTCCAGGTAGATGACATCAACTGCTCTACCCCTGTCCGTCAGTTCCGTAGCCCCATCATAGAAGGCCACCAAGTTGGTCAGGCAGGATTTCCCCTCAGTGAAGCCATGCTGGCTGTCACCAAGCACCTTGTTGATTTTCATGTGCCTTAGCATGCCTTCCAGGAGAATCTGCTCCAAGATTTTGCCAGGCACAGAGGTGAGACTGACTGGTCTGTAATTCCCCGGGTCATCCATTTTCCCCTTCTTGAAAATGGGGGTTGTATTTCCCTTTTTCCAGTCATCGGGAACTTCACTTGACTTCAACTGACAAGCAGTGAGGAAGGAGATGGGGCCACCTTGATTTACTTCAGCTGTGTAAAAGCTGTTGTTCCAGTCTGGATAACTAGATTCCTTCCTGTAGCTGGAGATGATAGATAACTCCAGCAGGTTGTTCATCTTACTCTGCAACTGATGTGTAAGGTAGATGGACTGATTTGCCCCTGAAGGTGCCTTGACTGATTACTGCTATAATCTAGGTGATTTTCTTGACAAGATTCCTAACCTTTATGCGAGGTTAGGCTAAACCCAGAGGAGGCAATGTCTTCTTCTATCCTACTCTGCAAAGGTGGAAGGCCAAGAGGTGGCCTAGAAGCCATTGGGCATTGGAAGAGCTTACACTTGGATTTTCCAAATAACAAAAATCCTTTTTTTTTGTGAGTAATCTGCCTAATTTGGGACTAGCCATGCTCTGTGTGTCAGGAGAAGCATTTAATAAACAAAAGAACTGGTTGCATAACAGTGTTACAGCTGCTTACAATTTGTGAAGGGTTGTGGGACAGGTTTTTTAATGTGCGATTTATGCTTTTACAACTATAAACTTCTACTTGAGGTCAAATCTTAGACATTTAATGTGTCTGTAACATTTACTTTAAACTTCTTCCTCCAGTTGTTGCTCTGAATACTACCCATAGCTTGTATTATCACGATACACCAAAATAAGAGAAAACTTAGGCCTACTGCAAGTTACAACATAAGCTGTGTTGACCACTATTGTCATCTCTCCCTGACCCCTGGTCCTTTGTTTTTTGACTAAAAAGCACATTTAGGAATATGATGACTGTAAAACAGCACAAGATTAATAATTCTCATTCATTTTATTTTACCATAGTCCCATACAGAAGGTGAAGCGCACATTATCAAAACTGAATTCCAGCAGTAACTGGGATTGCTGCACTCATTCAGTGAATCTCAGCATACCCTGTTCAGCCTGCAGATTTCTACATTCTTCTTCAAGGTGGTTTACAATACAATACCATCAAAACCAGGGGTAAGGAATATCATTTTCAAGAGAAATACTATTGTCACATGTACAGCACCTCAATGTGGTGATGATTAGAGCTTCAGTCACTTTCCCAAGAAAAAGAGGAGAGACAGAAAGAATGGAGAACGCTGCCTGTTACTGTGACCCAATTTGAGAGCTGAAGTAGAGCAATTATTGTGTAGAGAACAGCATTCCTTTCACTGTGTAGCAATTCAACCCAGACAATAAAAGCATATTTAAAATTCAATTGATTTAAAACATAAATGCTGCCAATCTCCCTAATCAAAGGACTTTTCTTCTTCCCTTCATTTGGTACGCTGCCACAATAGGATAACAGAGAAGAAATACTTTATGAAGTGTATTTCTGAGCCCTGTTTTTAATAGAATTTTGTTTGCTGTGGGTAAATACAGGACGTAGTGTTTTATATGTGGGTCATTTTAAATTAATTTTACTGCCTGCACTTTTTATATAAATCAGTTTGCATTAAAATCAGACTTCAAGACAAAGTAAGGATTTTACAAAACCAAACATGGACACATATCAAAGGGATGAGTCTAAACAGATCAAGAGAGTGATGTGACTATGTTAAAATTCACCTCGCAATAAGCTTTTCAGTGCAAGGACGTACAAATGTATTTGTTTCACTGCTTTTCTTATCTGTGCATTCGGCCATATAGAAGTTTCCTATTTTTTTTTCTAGAAAAGCAGCTCATAGTGATAGACTGTTTCTAAGCTCTCTATTATCAATGCAGATATCTAATACTTCTCCTTATCCTCCTCAGAAATAATGCAATCCCAATTTATTTCTCATTAAAGATTCATTGTACCACTAATCAGCTAAAGGTATTTTACTTGAAGTCTCTGACGTTTATTTTTAAGTCTTCAACATTTTAATTGCTTTGCTTTGCCCTTGGGTTCCTAGAAATTAAATACAAACACAAAACTTCCTATGGAAGTAAAATATAAGCCATGAAATTTCTGCACTGTCAGACAACATTATTTCACTTCAAATTTAAGCTTTTACATTTATTACTCACTATTTGTACTCAATTCTCTCTTCCTCACTCCTCTCCTCTTCCTTTAAAGCACCAAAGTAAATAATTCTTCCTCTTATTCACTTCAACTATTCATTGCTTCAGGACATTTACCTAGTTTCTAGCTTTTGAGCGTGCTTCTACTCCCCTCTGTCCTACAATACATGCTCTGGGAAGCAAATCCAGTTGCACAGGCCATAAGGGCAGCAGATATGCCCTGTCTAATCAAGGTCTCGGCCCTTGAAACACTTACCTGCTATAACGCACAGATATGATCTAATTCATTGCGGGAGAAGGGCACTAAATTATTTAAGGCCCTTTTTATTTTTCTTACACATATTCATCAGTAAAATGTCTTGCTGCTATTTTATGTTTTGCAGATGTAGAATGTGTATTCATTACAGATTTGTTATAGAAGGGTATTACTTAACTCTTACACTGAGGTATTTCAAGTGATAGTATCCCTGAATGAACTTGCTGCTATTGAGAAGTGTCAGCTGTACAGAACATTGGCACTGCAGACTGCAGGATCTGTGATCCAGGAGCATTATTTCAATGTTTCCCACAATGTTAGAAGGCAAAAGCCACTTAACTTTGGGACAGTGACTGTAGTCAAGGTCTTAGAAATCTCACAGTTACAGGAAGATCTGCTGATTAGCATCCCCAGTTTTAATTAAATCTGGTGTAGATACTGCCCTTGGGGACTGAAGCATAGCAAAGATACTGTTCTGAAAGTAGGACACAGCCTGACAGAGCCTTAGCAGCAAAAGGCAAAGTCAAGACAGACTCAGAGACCTGACAGAGGTTGAGGCTGCAGCTCAAATTACATCAAATCTCACTTAACCATGGCTGTGGTGGGAGGATAGAGGTTGACCTCATTTTTAAAGTAGTTACTAGCCAATACTGGAATTAGTTGACTCCTTTAGCTGCAGCAACTGATTGTTCAATCCAAGTATTTCGTTGCTGTAAAATAGTCTTCTTACAATGGGAAGACCCCCATTTCTCCTGGGGAGAGAATCCTTTGCAACACTATGGATAACTTCTCTCATCTTCCAGGGGCTTTCATTTTCTGCCTTAAAAATGGGCAAAAAAATAGAGCTGCACACACACATTCAGTGCAAACTTCCCTCTATCAGGTACAGTGTAAAAATTCTAACTCGCCTCCCCACACAGCTCACTGGTGGCTTCTTACCATTTCAACTACCACCACACAAAGGATATTTAATTATTCCTCCCATTAACTCTGAATCCATGACATTTTAAAAGTGAGGTCTGTTAGTGAGAGATCAAACTGATGCTCAGCATTTTTCAGCACAATATTAAAAATGACATGTCATAGTTTACTCACTGTACTAGTGTTAGTACACATTCATGATAGACTTTTGAGATCCACAGACTAACTGGTGAGTATTATTGCTTAATACAAAATAATAAATATATTTAAAGGGAATGATTTGGCAAATATGATCAATTTTTAATTTTAATTGATCTTTAATGTATTTTAAGACAAAAAATCTCTCCTTACCCCCAAACCTACAGAAGATGTCTAGAACTGTATCCCAGTGAGGAAAAAAGTTCTGGAAGTGGCAATGAGTATACAAATCCTCAATGTGATACTTGTTGCTAAGGTTTATTTCTTATCTTCTGAACTTACAGCTTTATAGGCTGAAAGAAAAGTTTGCAATTTTCTTTTTAAGTTCTTCACATAAATTTAACAAGCAGAAGATGAATTGTTGCAATTTACTTTGATCTCATACCTGTTTCTAGACTGTCTCAATACACTGTCTTATAGCTTTCTTCTCAGATGTTTATCTCTTTCCCTTCCTTATATCAATGCTAATGGCAAGCTTTAGAGGAGATACTCCATTGCAAGAACTTTCTAGACTGGTAAGGAATGTATTAGTAGAAAGTATTCTAAACATTTAAGCAAAAATCCAAAACTTGATGCATTTTTTCATTATTTTGACTGCATGGATAAATGCCAGTCGCATCCTTATTATTCTGCACTGACTTGTCAGCCCATCTGTGGCTATAATATGAGCTGTCTTCTCTGTAGAAAAATACTGGAGTAGCCTGATACATTACCAAGGGTGTAGGAAAGAGTTCTCCTAAACAAATCATAATGACCTGCTTTCTTGAAAAAAGTAGGCAAGTGTTTGCCAGGTGAGGGGAAAATCAGGCTTCGTTGTGAAATCTCAGTTAGCAAGGTCAAGCTAAAACACAAAAAGACCCCACATTTGAAATCTGCCTTATTTAACAATGAAAAACTAGGGAATGCAGAGCATATCTATCAGTATCATTTACTTCTCAGCTGGCAAACATAAGACAAACTTTCTCTTTTCACAGAATCACGGAACCCCAGACAGGTTTGGGGTGGAGCGAACCTTAAAGCCCATCCAGTTCCAACCCCCTGCCATGGGCAGGGACACCTTCCACCAGACCAGGTTGCTCCAAGCCCCATCCAACCTGGCCTTGAACACTGCCAGGGATGGGGCAGCCACAGCTTCTCTGGGCACCCTGTGCCAGCGCCTCAGCACCCTCACAGGGAAGAGCTTCTGCCTGATATCTAACCTGAACCTCCACTGTTTAAATTTGAGCCTGTTACCCCTGTTCTATCACTACAATCCTTGAAGAGGCTACAGTCAGTGATGAAGAGTCTTGAAAGTTTATGCTCATATTTGACTCATTACTTTAATGTTACCAGAAAACTAAATTATGTCCAGTGTTTTCACTGCAGGAACTTAACAGGGCCTAACCTGCATGTAGGATGTCTCATAGTATGAGACACTGAAACATTACAGAGGGAACAGGGTAAACTGAGTTTCCAGGAAGCTCTTGTGAATACAGTCAGATTGTGTCAGCTTAGGTTCAACATAATTATTTTAAATTAACACCTCTGCCCAGAATCAGGGGAATTACCCAGCCAGCTCCTCACATTCAGAGGCTTAAGAAAGAGAAAAGAGAAAAGATAGATAGACTGAGTTGGGGTTCTTTTGACACACACTGAACTTTCTTGACCTAACTCTCCCTGAATACCAGTCCCATGACAGCAGGTACTATTGAGTATTCAGCTGCATTGCACCTTTATATCACCTCAGCCCTGAGTAGTTAATATTTCAGTGATAAGTACTGAACAAGACATGTGCCTAATGCATTTTAATGCACTTAGAAGTCATGATAAAAATAACCATTTATCAAAGAAAGCTTTTTAGTAAAAAAGCCGTATGAGTTTGAATAGTCTTACAGTCTTTGCAAAGTAGAACCAAGTTTCACTCAAAGTAGGACTCTAAAAGCCTTCAGAAACATTATTCAAAAACATTTTGATGTGCTGAAATTGCTAGCCACTTTCAAATTGACATCAAAGAAGGAGGAAATTAAAATCTTAGTAATCCTCCAGAATATCCCAGTTTGATTATCTGACCTGGTATCAAACTGTTTGGATAGATTGCATTCAGAAGTGTCAGCCTGTCATCATCTCTGCTCCTGGACATTAGATTTCACTCAGTACAGTGTAAAAGCAACAAAGATTTCACAACAGTACAGTGTAAAAGCAACAGTACAGTGTAAAAGCAACAAAGATACTGAGAAAATTTAGTATCTAATATTTAGCATCAACCAGGAGACGTGGAATAGAATATATTTCCTTACCCTCCTTGTATATTAGGACACTACTACACTGAACTAAGGCTAATAAAACGATATGTGAATATTTTATTGAACACATTCATTTCATAATCTGCTTTGGACAAATGGCTGAATAAGTTACTTGCAGTATCTTGCAAAGAGAGTAATACTATTTCACTTCAGAACAAGGGTAATACATCCTTCAAATAATCATATTTGAATGGTGGCTGATGGTGGCAGATGCAGGTGGTGGATTCCCCATACCTGGAGACACTCAAGGCCAGGCTGGATGTGGTTCCGGACAACTTGATCTAGTTGAAGATGCAGGGGGGGTCAGACTGGATGAGCTTTGAAGGTCTCTTCCAACCCAAACTATTCTATGATTCTATGATATTGTGAATTTTGTGGTGTCAACTACTTCACCCAAGCATTTTCACCTACAATCAGTCAAAAACAAGACTGCTTCCTTGAGTGACATAGTACCTGGTGACATAACCCTACAGTTATGTCACTAGTTACCACCATTAGCCAAGATCTTCCAAAATACTTTGTTTGGCTGACAAGCAGCTAAGATGCAAACTTTTCTTAAGAGAAGGAGCCATTGAACCCAGGACAAAGATGCAAAATTTTCTAGTTCTAAGGTGAAAGCAGTGTGTGTGTGTCCTGGTTCAGCAGCAGCAGTCATTTTTCTCCTTCTTAGTAGCTGGTGCAGTGCTGTGTTTTTGACTTTCAGCTCAGGAACAGCGCTGATAACACCGATGTTTTTAGTTACTGTTCAGTAATGTTTAGTCTGACCAAGGACTTTGTGAGCCTCATGCTCTGCCAGGGAGGAGGGGAAGCTGGGAGGAAGCAGAGACAGGACACCTGACCCAAACTACCCAAAGAGGTATTCCATACCACAGCATGTCATGCCCAGGATATAAACTGGGGGGAGTCACCCAGAAGGGCGAGATCACTGCACGGTCGGGCTGGGTAATGGTCTGTGGGTGGTGAGCGGTTGTATTCTCTTCCCTTGTTATTTCCCTTATCATTATTATTATTGGTGGTAGCAGCAGTGGTTTGTGTTATACCTTAGTTACTGGACTGCTCTTATCTCAGCCATGGGAGTTACATTCTTTCAGGCCTCCTCTCCATCCCTCTGGGAGCAGGGAGTGGAAGGTGGGGGAGTGAGTGAGCGGCTGTGTGGTTCTGAGTTACTGGCTGGGCTTAAACCACGACAGTGAGCAAGGCTGGGAAATTGATTCCTCAGTCTTTGTATACCTCTTTTGAAGTTTTCACCTACAATACTATTCAGTGGCAGTCAGGAAAATAAGGAATGGCCACCTCAAAGCCAAGAATGAGAGTAAGGCTTTCTTATGTGAACTACAGAACAGTGATAAAAGGCAAGTAACTTTATCCCTTATGAAGGAGATATATATGTACACGTCTACGGGGGTATGATATAATAGGCATCACATGGTGGGATGGCTCCTATGACTGGAGTGTTGGAATGGAAGGTTACAGGTTCTTTAGGAAAGACAGGCCTGGCAGGCGGGGAGGGGGAGTTGCCCTTTATGTTAGGGATAGGCTGGAGGGTATGGAACTCTGTCTGGGGACAGGTGAGCAGTCAGCAGAGTTTGTGTGTCAGTGTTAAAGGGAATATAGCTATGGGAGACATTACTGTGGGGATCTGTTACAGACCGCCTGATCAAGGAGAACCTGTGGATGAAGCACTCCATAGACAGATAGGAAAAGCCTCACGCTCACAGGCCGTTGTTCTCATGGGTGACTTCAACCAGCCTGACATCTGTTGGAAGGACGGTACGGCCCGGCACAAGCAATCCAGGAGGTTCCTCGATTGTGTGGAAGACAACTTCCTTCTGCAAGTAATAGAGGAGCCGACAAGGAGAGGTGCCATGCTTGATCTCGTGCTCACCAACAGGGAGGGGCTTGTTGGAAATGTGACTCTCCAGGGTAGCCTTGGATACAGCGATCACGAGGTGCTCGAATTTGAGATCCTCAGGACAGTGAGAAGAGCGTGCAGCAAGCTCACTGCCCTGGACTTCAAAAGAGCAGGCTTTGGCCTCTTCAGGAACCTGCTTCGGAAGGTTCCATGGGATACAGCCCTAGAGGGCAGAGGGGCCCAAGACTGTTGGTTGATATTCAAGGATCACCTGCTGCAAGCTCAGGAATGCTGCATCCCAACCAGAAGGAAGTGCAGCAGGAGGGCCAGGAGACCTCCTTGGATGGATAAGGAGCTCCTGAGGAAAATTCAAATGAAAAAAGAGGCTTATAATAAGTGGAAGCAAGGACAGGTGGCATGGGAAGAGTACAGGGATGTTGTCTGGGAAGCTAGGGACCAGGTTAGGAAAGCTAAGGCCCAGTTAGAATTAAACTTGGCTAGGGATGTGAAAGATAACAGGAAGGGATTCTATGGGCGCATTGCAAATAAAAGACCGACTAAGGACAATGTGGGCCCTCTCTGGAAGCTCTCAGGAGAACTGGCTACACAGGATTTGGAGAAGGCTGAGGTTCTGAATGACTTCTTTGCCTCGGTCTTCACTGGCAAAGGCTCTGACCAAACCACCCAAGTCTTGGAAGGCAGATGCAGGGACTGTGAGAATGAAGACCTTGCGTCCACTGTAGGAGAGGAACTGGTTCGAGACCATCTTAAAAATCTGAATGTGCACAAGTCCGTGGGTCCTGATGAGATCCATCCCCAGGTCCTGAAGGAGCTGGCAAATGAAGTTACGAAGCCGCTGGCCATCTTATTTCAGAAATCCTGGCAGTCAGGTGAAGTTCCCGGTGACTGGAAAAAGGGAAATACAACCCCCATTTTCAAGAAGGGAAAAATGGATGACCCGGGGAATTACAGACCAGTCAGTCTCACCACTGTGCCTGGCAAAATCTTGGAGCAGATTCTCCTGGAAGGCATGCTAAGGCACATGAAAATCAACAAGGTGCTTGGTGACAGCCAGCATGGCTTCACTAAGGGGAAATCCTGCTTGACCAACTTGGTGGCCTTCTATGATGGGGCTACGGAACTGATGGACAGGGGTAGAGCAGTTGATGTCATCTACCTGGACTTGTGTAAAGCGTTTGACACTGTCCCACACGACATCCTTGTCTCTAAATTGGAGAGACATCAATTTGATGGATGGACCACTCGGTGGATAAAGAACTGGCTGGATGGCCGCACACAAAGAGTTGTGGTCAATGGCTCAATGTCCAGCTGGAGACCAGTAACGAATGGTGTCCCTCAGGGATCGGTGTTGGGACCGGTCTTGTTCAACATCTTTGTCGCTGACATGGACAGTGGGATT